GTCATCCCATTTGGTACAAGCCTACAGGTTTTCAGGTACGTCGTGCTGCTGCAGAAATTGCCCTCTGAGCGCCTCCGAGGCTGGGCCTGTGCTGCAGAATCTCAGACCCACACCTAGCTCAAACACAACAAACCCAGGGGCCCAAGTAGCACGGGACAGGGGTCGGGAACACTGGGCTTCTCTCCTCTCCCATCCCACCAGCTTTGTGGCCAAGAGAAAGAGGCCCACTGGGCACCTGGCTACGAAATCCCTGCTGACATCCAGGAAGATGAAGAAGCATTCATCGTTGGGGGTGTAGGCCCGGTGCGAGCGCAGGGCTCGCTTCACCTCCTTCATTGTCTTCAGATCAAACACATGCAGGTCAATCTCCTCTGCGATGGGGGGTGGCTGCATGGGATCAGAGATCACACAGTCCCGCGGCCAGGACCGGCTGTTCACATATAGGTACCTAGGGGACAGGAGGGGAGAGGTTACACTGCTGGGTCACTTCTGTCAGCATCACCATCTGGTCTAGAAAACCTCTCAGGTGTGACTGTGCTGGTTTCACTGCCTGGCTCTGCAGCACAAGCTCGCAGCCGTGGTTTGAGTTACAGACTCTGGAGAAGGGGGGGCAGGCTGGAGTTTTGGAAACAGCCCATTTACATGAATTATTTTTAAAGATTTCAATTCAGCCATTTCCATCCCTGCTCCGTTCTGCAAGTAGGAACCCCCCCTCCCCCCCAAGTGTCTAACAAGGTCTTGCTGCTGGGAAACTCCAAGGAGAGCTCATCTTATACACCAAGCTCCTCAATCCAAGCCAGCCACTCAGACGGCCTGGCCCAGCTACACAGATGGGAAACACACATCGCCTTAGGCAGCTCCTGCACGTTGTTACTACCATCAGCATCTGGCTGGTCCCCAATTCCATTCCTATCCCTTCCAGCCAAGACTCTTGGCCACCTCTTCCCCGGTGGGGGCTAAACCAAGCGCCCCTCCCCGCCATCTGTTGGCTTCAGGCCCCATGACTCTGAAGAGCACAGGAAATCCCCACATGGTGATACATACGCGCACGCGAGAAACAAACATACAAGACAAAAGGAAAGCCCAAGCTCCCCAGGTCCCTGCACTGGCAGACAGGTCATGAAGGCTACACCCAGCTGAGTTAATGGAGAGTGGAATTCCTTCCTGACCCCAGATCCTGGGACCAGTTCAACTCTGTGCACATGAGCGAAGCATCACCTGGATTACACGCAAGAGCCACTGACGCTCCGAAACACCCTTGGGGTCCAATGCCCCATTACTGCAGCCTCTGGCATGGAGCAGCTCCCACATGGAGGCCCTCCTCTGCACAGCGCTGTAGCAGAACCCCAGGTTAGACCTCAGCAGGGCCAACTTGGCTTATCCCCCTGCTAATAGACACACACAGTTCCATGTGTTTTGCTTTGTGGCAGAGATCGGGAGATCTCAAAACACCAAGGGCCTGTGTACACGCATTAATGAGTCCATGGAGGCAGGGGACAATCCCTGGGCTCTTCTCAAATGAGTCACCAAGCTCTGGAACCCCCCCATCTCCCCCCACTAACTACACTTAAAGTGATCAGCTGGCAGCCAGGAGCCCAGTGCCCATGGCAGACCCTCTGCTCTGCTGTGCCTCGTGTCCTGCCACACCCACCTGTGATCAGGAGAAAGGCCCATTCCAATAATGTGACCGTGGAGGTCGATGACATGATCCAGCGAATCAAAGAACTCGTCTGAACGTCTCTTCTCCCCAAGCACTGGTCCAGCAGTCGTCATCTGATGAGGCAAGATCTGCTTAATCCCTTCGGGGAAAGGGAGCAGGAAGGGGATTAGTCCGCTCTGCAAGAGGGCGCTGCTGCTGCCTGACTTGCAGGGAACATGCAATAGCCAAAGGACTGAAGTGAGCTCCCCAGGCTCCAGAGCAAGGAGCATCCCTCTGAACCCTTGTTACAAGCTGCTAGGAGAGAGGAAACCCACATGGGGGACCCTGGGTGGGAACTGACTCCCTGACCAGGCTCGGGTGGTGACTGAGTCATGGCACAGTATAGGGCATCAGACCCTTGGCACTCTCCTCTGCTGGCTATTCCTGGGGCATCAGCCCATAGCAGCATTTGGGCCCTTCCAGTGAGGTTTGCAGCCAGGAGGGGGGTGTTTAGTCCCCTCACTCCCACTGTTTACAGCCAGAGCAATTCCCAAAGCAAACACAAAACTCTTCCTTTCAAGGGCAATATTAACCAGGACCAGTGGTGGTTTCCCGATGCAGTCTTGAGAGAAGCTCCCTTCCCTGCTGCCTGCGAACAATTCACTCAGTTGTAAGGTACGATTCTGTCACTTTCCAGGACCTCTGTGACGACTTCCACAGCATCAGCTGGCCCCGGTAGGGGCAGAACTGCTGGCTGGCGGGCAGCCCCAGGGCTGAAGCAGCGGCCAGGGTTGGATCCACCCCTGTGGGGCTGGAGCAGCAGCCGTGAGTCCTTGCCGCAGGAGCAGTGGCGGGGCTGGAGCAGCTGCCGGAGTTCAGCCCCTGGCAGCGCTTGGACTGTCAGTCCCCCCCAAGTGTATTTTTAGTAAGAGTCAGAGCCCTGTATGCAGAGACGACCGAGTTGGGGGAGGTGGTGTAGTCAGGAGTTTGGTTTGCACTTTTTTAAACTCACTGTTGAGAGAGAAGCTCCGTGCTAAGGATCCCTAGCCACAGCTCCGAGTCCTCCAAGCTGGATCAGTCCTGGGACGATCCCACTCGACACCCCTCCCAGTTCTCAGTAACACACTTCAGGCCTTCTAGAGGCAGAGGCCCGGACTACACGAGGAAATTAGATCGGCAGAACGACATTGCTTAGGGGCGTGAAACATCCCCATCCCTGAGCCAGCCCCCACATCAACCTAGCACTGTCCACACCGCGATCACCTCAGGAGTGGATGGGAGAGCCCCTCCCATCGTTACAGGTAATAGCTGCGATTTAAGTGCAGAGAAGCACAGAAGTGTGAACATGGCCCATTTGCCGGCCTTTACAGTTCACGCCTCCTGGGGATGGTACCGACCAGGTGTGGAAAGTGCTTTGAGATCTGCTGATGAGAAGCACTGCAAGAACTGGCATTATTGTCATTATTTAAATGAAGGGACACTGGTTGTGCCTGGTGACTTTCATCTGGCCATCAAGGCAATTTACAAGCCCTCAATGATTGTGCCCACAATGCATCAGCCTGTGGGCAGGACGAGTCACGTGAAAGGCCTGTTGTGACGTATGGCTAGAAAGGGTTAAACATCCTGCAAAATCAATAACTCTCATAAGACATGTGGGGAGATGTTTGTGGTTTTGTGCATTTACGTATCTAGGAGTAGGGTTGACAATGTCATCAACAGTCCCTACCTATGCTGTATTCTGATAATTCAGGGGTCAAAAGAACATCGTAGCACGTCAATGAATTGTACTGTGAATGGTGGAGGAACAAGCAAACGGCCTGATGTTAATTCTAGAGCTAAGTGATGGACCTCCTTCAAAGTCAGGCTAATGACCTTCTGAACACCAACTTGTCAAAAGACATGACATTGTATAAAAGATTCTGTCATCTCAGATCTGCTTAGGGGAGGTTTGAGTCGCAAGACTGAGGTCCCAGTTATGTTGGTTCGTCCTGACTAGGAGATTTGGACATTGGACTAGAACCTATGAACTATTTCCACTCAAGGCTCCAGCGTGGGGGATGGAAAAGTGGAGGGAAAGCCCCCTTCCAAAGAGGCTGTCACCGAGGCCCCTGGCAATCAGCCAGCAGCTAGTGTTGTGGCTGTGGCGCCGTCTCAGCGAGGGAATGAGGCAGGGGCTGGGAACCACTGAACCTTCTACAATTAGAGCACTTAAAAGTGGGGTTCGAGACGTAACACTTTAGAGAGCGCTGTGTGTGGGAATGCTTTCAAGTGAGCATTGGCTGAATGTGCAAAGCCCTAATGTGCTGGCGGTCAGAGCACTCAGATCTGAGCTGATCCTCTTCCAACCTGCCCCGAGTCTCCCCGAGATCTCCCAACAAGCCAAACCGGGAGAATCAGCGCCATGGAGGGGTCAGGATTGCCGAGAGCTCCCCGGTAACTGGCTGCCCCGGCAGTGTTCTAAGTCCCACAGAAAGAAAAAATAAAAATACATCTGCTGTGCATGTTGGGTGTGCAGCCTGCAGGTGCTCAGAGGGCTCGAGCCCTCAGCCTGGCCCATGGCCATGGCCAAGATCTACATCTCAAACCCAGGCCTTCCCCTCTCGCTGTAACAAAATAAAGGGCTGGCTAGGCGTTTATTTGCAAACAATTCTAGGGAGTTGACTTTTTTTTTTTAAATCTCAAAAACAGCTGATAGGATTTTGCACAAACTTCCCAGAAAGTTTCACCTTTGGCCAGAGCCCAAGGCTGGAAAGAGATAGCCTGGTGGGAAGCATTTTGGGAAGGGGTTAGAAGGGAAGCGGTTTTCAAACCTTGACTCCAGCAGGCACCCGGCAGAAAGCCACTGTGCTAGGAGGTGACCAGTCATTGTCCAGCTTTGTCCCCGCGGGAGCAGAGCAAGGCAGGGCTCTGCCACTCACCTATCTGGTGTGGAGAGTAGGTGAGGCATCCTGTGGTGAAGATTAAGTATTTCTTCTTGTTGCTGGCCTCTGTGGGCAGCTGGTTCAGCTCAGGCGGTTTAGTCCTGTTCCTGGCAAGCAGCTCTGCCACCTTCGTCTCCAGCTCGCTCTCACTCATGACGGGCATCACACGGCCTCCGAGGATGTCGTCCAGGAACTGCTGCAGCCCGTCCTCTGCTGTCCCGCTCCCACCATCCGGCGATGCCTGCGCCACTGGCTCTGGCATCACTTTCTGCTTGGGCTTCACCTCCTCTTCCTCACTGTCACTGCCAAGATCAAAGACCTGGTAGGGAGCGGCAGCAGCGGCCAGCTGCTCCTTGTAGTCCAGGAGCAGGTCCGGGGTGTCGTAGCGGCTGCAGTCTGCCACCATCACTGTCCGGATGGTGCTGGCGTTCAAGTTCTGGATTTTGAACAGTCTCTTCACTACATTCACATTCTCAGACTCTACGCCCTGTTAAGAGAAGGGAGAGAGGCTCACGGTGACCAAACAGTACCAGAGAGCATGGGAGGCCTCAGGGTCACTTCTACAACAGACTTCATAGGCGCCCCAAGCCCTCTCTAACCAGCACAGTGCCCTTTAGGGTCTTTCAACAGAGGCTGTCAAAGCACTTTACAAGTGGTGGTGAATGGAGCCCCCTGGAGATGGGCCAGTATAGCAGGTACCATCTTACAGGTGGGGAAACTGAGGCACAGAGGGGCGGTGACTTACGCAGGGTCACACAGCCAGACAGCAACAGATCTGGCAATAGAACCCAGCATTCTCTGCTTTAGACCTCTAGCTGACACTGCCTGTCCTAACAAACAGGTTCAGGAACAAAGTTTCTATCCTGACCACAGGTTCAGCATGATTGGTGCCAGCTGACTGGCCATTCTAGGAACGGGAAAACAGGCACCAATGTGCTCCTAGAGTTTGTTTCTCCATTTCCTTCCTCCAGGAGGGTTTCACTGCAGCTACTCCATCCTGCAGGCTGCTCAATCTCACAATCTGCATTAACACAGGCTGCCAGGGACATGAATACTCCACTTCTTTCGGCATGCAAATTGCCAACACCACTAAAAAGGGAGCACAGGCTAATGGGCAGAAAAAGGACTTGCTGGCTCACAACTTGGGCAACTCAACATCCAGGCTTCATTTTCCCCCATCTGTAAAAGGGGGAATTAAATCCTTACCTCTCAGGGGCTGCAAGGGTTAATACTTGCACCGAGAGATCCCTGGTACTTGTATAAAGACTGAGGTTTCAGGGCACCCAGGGGAAGATGAAGGAGCTATTCTCATCCTATAGGGCTGCTGGGCAGCAACAAGACAGCGATGGGCTGCCAGGCAGTGTTTGTCCACCTTCTCCGGGGCAGTCTGGAGTAACTGATGCAAGAGGTGGCAGACGGAACAGAGCATGTGTGAGCCTAAAGAACGGAGGGGAAGGGGCACAAGTGGCAAACAAATAACAATGCTCCCGTCTGCTATGGAGAACCAAGGGCTTGGCCTGCCAATAGCCGTGCCTGCTGTAGTAAGGCTCAGTCAGGAGAGCTGTACAAACAACGAGGATCTCAAAGCGCAACAAGCAAACTGAGCTCAACCTCCCTATCCAACACCCCCCCAGTGGGAAGGGCTGTTCTCCCTATTTCACCAAGGAGGAAACTGAGGCACGGTGGGTAAGTGAATTCCACAGGTCACAGCGAGCCCATGACAGGGCAGGAGCAGTGCTCGGATCCCTCTCATTGGCAGCCGTAAAGTGCGAGACGGCACTTCCTCCAACATGTCACATGACATTCACTTCACTCATTTCCTCTAGCAAGGATTCTTTGACCCATCTGCGTCCATATTAATTTCCTGTCCAGCGAGCACCCGTGTCCCATGAGGCCAAGCACCCAGATACGACGGCTGACAGACTTCAGCAGCCCCAGGCACCCAGCTCTTGCAGGACCCATCAAGGCATCCAATGACTCTTAACCCACCTGCTCACCGTGGCTCATCCTCTGGTCCCTTCCAGAATGAGACCCTGGGCTGGGCTCCAGGCTCCATCCCCATTAACACGACACGAGTGCTTGGAAGCAGACAGCACAGAGCCACATGGGAAGTGCCCACTGCAATGGGTGCTGTGCCAGGGACGCAGCAGGGTACTGGAGGGCCACCTTGAGCCAACTCTACCATGAGCCTAAGCTCTCCATCCCTCTTAACCTTCTCCCAAGTTCATGCTATCACGGTATTTGCTCCCAGAATGACCCTAACTCCCACGACAGGAGGCGTGATGGTGGGCGACTCCTCCGCTCCTCACTCATTGGCAGTGCCCAGGGTTCTCTAAGGCATCGGCTCCCAGGGAGGAGCCTCAGCAGAGAAGTCAGCGAGACAGTGTCTCACACCCCGGGCCCAGCTGATGGGAACTGTCCAGGCTATTCAACAACCCAGAGCCTGGAGAAGCTTGGCCCTGAGACGCACCTGGAAGGCATTGTTCAGCCACAGCACAGAGCAGGAGGTGATGTGCCCAATTCGGTGCAGGTTGCCGGAAATCAAGTTGGTTTCATTCAGCCAGCAGCCAAACACATCATAGGGTTTGTTCCTCACCCTGGAGAGGAGCGTGAAGTTCTCTGTAGGGAAGGAGAAAGGGGAAGGAGAATACAGCTCCACAGGAAGGACCCCAGTGAAGCAGGAGACAGGACCCATGGGATTCAAGTCAGAGCCCCAGCTGATCCCGGAAGCAGAGTGGATGTAAAGATGGATGGTCCCTCTTACAAGTTAGTTATCAGTGTGGATTCCCAACACACTTTGCCTTTCAGTGGTGCTATGGCAGGGGTTCTCAAACTGGGGCTCGGGACCCCTCAGGGGGTTGCCAGGTTATTACATGGGGGGTCCCGAGCTGTCAGCCTCCACCCTAAACCCTGCTTTGCCTCTAGCATTTATAATGGTGTTAAATATACCCCCCCCAAAAAGTAGTTTTTAATTTATGGGGGGGGGTCGGCACTCAGAGGCTTGCTGTGTGAAAGGGGTCAGCAGCACAAAACTCTGAGGGCAGGTCTTCACTACGGGGGGGGG